TTATAACTATTAATAATGATATTTTCTGTTATGGAATAGGATTTTAAGAACAGGGTTCGATTTGTTAAATGAATGAAAAAAGTACTGATTGGTACATGACCAACGATGATACTACGTGACTGAATGACAGCTGCCCACGATAACGATTTATTGACGTGAGCGCTAAAGTGGACTGATGATATCAGAAGACAATACAGGTCTCCAGTAGAACAAGCTTTTATTATTATTATTAATGGCTTTATTCAATATACAATACAATATAGAATTCTCCTAATAAAATAACATGCTTACATGGGAAACATTGAGCACAAAAGTAAACATGATTACAAATTACTGAGTAAACTGGCAATTATAGGATATTTCGACTACAGATCATTCATTCACTCTCCAACAGAACTCATGATCAACTACTGGGATTAATCCTTACCCTCTCAAACTATCGCTTCTTGGCTCTCTGAGCTAAGATCATGTGTAGTATCTCAAACTACCCTCTTTAAATGGTTATATTTTCCGCGTACTGATGTGCATCAAACTCATAATAAGTTTAGCATCATATTTTATATCTTCTTACCATACTTATGATTTCCAGTCGCATTTCAAAGGAATTTTCTACAATCCTACTGCAGAGATGTGAGGTGGTTACAGGTAGTCGTCAGAAAATTCTGGGTTTACGTTTCATGTTATTCGGTACTTGCCAGCAAGATCCACCTGACTTTGTGTGTAACAGACAAATCAACACTAATCCTAGATTCTAATACCAAACCCTTTATTCCTGGAACAAACAACGTGATGATACTACATTTTATACCCCGATAGATCAAATAGCGTCCATTACATTTTTACGCGAAACGTACTCATTCAGATGACTGTATAGAATTTTCGAACTATAACCGATGTCATTTCGTGGTAAAGGTTCCAACGACAAGGAAACTTAAAAATCTCTTTTGGTCATTATAACGCTTGGAGTGAACGGATAATCTATATGCATTAAGACGAACTGATATCATTGTTTTCATCGATTTACATACAGATCAACTGGTAGAAGATGTGGATAGATTCATCATTTCATTTTAGAAACTCACTGTGTAGAGCTGTTTTTTGATAAGCTAAGAATCAGGTAAAAACTCGTCGAACTTATTTCAGATTCATCTTCATAGTCTATATTTTAACCAATAACTTCTTTCTTTATTAAGAGAATTAAATATATGTGAAATTGAGATAATTTAATGAGAAGACAATCTATGTGTAATATTGATTAGTGTAAACCATTTCGACTAATCTGACCATTATATATTCAAGATGTTTATCCATGTGAACTAAAATAAAGGTCACCTAGACAAAATGAAAGATATAAATGATGCTTTCATCATGAGTGAAATATATAATTAGACAATTCAAAATATATTACACTAATCAATATCAAAACATAATTTAGATAAACTTTGTTATTTCATTGTTTTACGACTAGTGCAGCAGCAGCAGTTAGTCTCAATATAAACAAAGGGAAAAGTAATAGTCTCCGATACAACACAACATGCAACAATCGAATTACACTTGAGGGAGAAGCTTTAGAAGATGTGGAAACCTTTACATATCAGGGCAGCGTCATTGATAAACACGGTGGATCTGATGCAGATGTGAGGGCGAGGATCAGCAGCATGCCGATGATGTTCGTATCCCTTTTATTATAAGCTTCATTTTGACCTGTAGATTATTATTGTACGATTTACCATTATTGAGTTATCTCGAGTCTATTGATTACTGTTCCCTCTACTCACAGCCACATTTGGTCAAATCTTGTACAAATGTTATTCCCTATTTTATGGTACGATGTGGTCGGTTTGTTTGGTATATAAACCCAGTATACTTGAGAATAATGATTCATATTGCAGAGGCTGTTATTGGTGTTCTGTACTTAACTGGCTGGGCTAGGCAGAAAGCAGGACTGATAAGTACTCAAAACTGCTCATACGGTTTTTTGTGTATCATTGGTCTGATCGATATATTCGCTACTCTCTGATTGGCAGTCACATCACTCACATATATCAACTGGGACACTCACCCAATCGATATCACAACTGGGCACGCACACACGCAGGCAATCGATATAATAATAATTTTGATCAACATAACAAAATCAATAACTTTATTGATCAAAATTTTTTTTATCTCCGATCAAAAGAATCCATTTATATTTTCGATGATCTATATATATATAAGCAATTCCTTTAATAAAGTCTTTCTTAGTATACTATTATTATTATTGTAAAGAAAAATGGATTCACATACAAGTAATTAAGAGGTATGTCATACTTTTTTTTTCTAGAAAATTTGTAGTTTCTAGGTATGGAAAAACAAACATTGAATGTACTTTTAATGGACTAAAAATAAATGGTTATTATATTTATTATATAAAAAGGTACTATTGAATGATGATTTCATGGGGTAAAACAAAAAAAATAATTGATTTTATCAGGATGATTCTATTCTATACAGTATTATTTATGAAAGGAATAATTAAAGAAAAAAGTGACAAGTTTATAGTATATAATAAATAATTTAGTATTGTAATTTATGCAGTTAGTAGGTGATAAAAAGAAAATAACAAGTAACTGGGGGGAAAAATCCGACTCACACGTCCTCATCGTGCCTCCTGGATGATGGGACTGTTTCCATGAACTGACGTGAGCGGTTAATCGTGGGTGGTTGAGATCGGCCTAATCAACCACTATACCAACACCCAAAAAACGATTACGAATGCTACTAGGAGTTATTGCATAACTATTGAGGGTTCAAAAGAGAGGTAAAATAAATAAGATTCTGCCCAAATAAAAACAAAAAAATGGTTGTGAGAGTTATGTAATGGTTCTCAGTAAGCAATGCAGAAACAACTATCCCATCCCGGTAGTTGTGCTGTGCTTCGATGTAGCACTCTTCTCCAGAAGGGCCTACTAGGCTTCACCATTCTATATGGTTGGAAGGGGGTAACAAGTAACTAATCAATTAGAAGTACTTGATAATTATTTAGTAAGAAGCAATTTTTAAACAATCATAAACTAATGGAAGGCAAGAATATGGTTAGATGAATAATCTACAAGGTCTTGATATTACAATGGATTATGCATTAATCACTACTTAATGAAGTTTCCTCTGGAAAATAAGTTCCGATGTTAACAATTGATTCGGTCTTTTGGTGGTTTTAAGTTAATAATTCACTTTTTGAAAGTTATTACCACTTGGTCACACTGTTCACATTAATTCAGGCGATCGACCACAATCATAATATAGCCCTCCCACACAGACAAAGAAACATTAGTCGAGTTCATCTAAACTTACTGGCAATGCGGGTTTGTCAGGAGTTCAGTGACTTCAAAAAAATGTTTATCAAAATCGTACGCTACATAATAAGAAAATGATTTTTTTCATTGTCACATCTGTCAGTACTTCATTTCCTGCCTGGAAACTCGTTTAGTTACTTGAAGTACGTAGACGACCTTGTTCCGTTCAGTTATGGTGGATTTAGAAATACCTCAGACGAGAGTGCAAGTTTCAGGATTGGTGCTTACTACCAAATGTTTAGTGTTACCTTAGGCCTGGTTCGCAACAACTCATATTTCAACCACAGGAATTGAGGTAATTTAGTACATTACCACAACTAGCCTTGAAAGTTTCATCAGACTTTGCTGATTTGAAGGGATGACGAAACGTTCTCTCATGAGGCTAACTCTGCGCCTCTGGCAGTTTACGCCACATGTAAATCTAGCAGCATGCTTGTGCGTCCATGAAAAGAGTGAGACACTGCTCAGCAATTTCGGTTAAGACAAGGGGTTTTTGAGGGTATAAAATGTATTATAATTTTTTAAAATTTTGATCATAGATACTTCTGAAGCGTTGATTACGCATGGCGAACCTATTACGTGACTACTGCTGAATTTAGATGAGGGGATGTGGTGTATACTACTTACGTCGACAGACATAAATGGTATATAACACTAATCAGAAGAGGAAAACCTAGCAGCAGGTTGAGACGGAAGAAAGAGGAAACAGAGGGTAATTATTATGGCAATGAAGGAACGATAAAGTTTGAGACAATTGATGGAGGATCCACAAATGAAGTACGGAACGTATGGTCTTCGTATTTGATGAAAGTACTCTATAATTTTGTATTAAAATACAATCGGCTGTCCCCCACTTGTGTTTTCGTTCACAACGGGAGCATTAGGTATATTTGGTCAATCTATGATGTAGACTTTGATAAACGGTGATTAAAATTAAAGTGAATGAACAGGTAACGCTTATCAAGACACCTACTTTACCATAGTGACTGATATTTATCCGAATCCTTTTTTATCCTGTTAATTTCCATTCTCCATTGTGGTGCAAAGTCCGGTAGTTTGAGTTTAGGAGGTCATTCAAGCAGCTTTGATAAAGTTTGGTTTCCTGTATTAAGCTACTTACAATTTGTTAGTAATGGATTTTGTGAACAATGAATTTGCTTTCGTTGACACGAAACCCTTTTGCATAGGAGACAAGTTTTTGTATCAGTCGGTTGACATAATAAGTGCTAACAAATTTAATTAAATATCTGCTTGTTTTAGGTGTAAACGCAAGTCTCAAACTTCGGATACTTTGAGATGGTGGAGAAAATTTGTAGCTCAGGTGGGTGATTTTGATGTAGCTCAAAGAACAAACTTAGTATACTGTTTGGGAAATAACATAATTACATTGAATAATTCGTTAGTAATTTAAAATGGGCATTTAAAAAACTTGAAAAGTTCAAAAAATTTCCAAAAATTGATCACTTTTCACAAGAGATAACATTTACATGTTTATTAGTGTAAATAATACACATTTTTTTGACTGAATAACTCCAAGAGTTGGTTACATAGTGTATTCATCACAAGTTCATTCAAAAACTATTACAATTGTATAAAGAAATCAAGGAAAACATAAATAAGAAAAAATACGGGGTAAGCGATAAGCATTTTTTAAATTCTTTATTAGGAATCCTTTTCCGGGATAAATGATGATTTATATTGTTGCTTAAGTTTTTCTGTGTTGGCATAATCCAATCTGTTTACAGGGTTGGACGAGGAATCTGTTTAAGTTAGAAAGGCAGAAAAAGAAAAGTGACATACAAAGTGATGATGTAAGTAAATGTGATTGATTTGGTGATGGAAAACTAGTAAATGGATTAAAAAAACTTAGATATTAGGATACTGATTTGTAGAGATTGTTAGATTCGAAGTGAGTTCCCAATACAAAATAGAGAAGACGTGATCAGTTCTGAAATAAAGGTCGGATTTCTTATTTTTAATAGGACGAACACTAAGCGATTTATGCGCGTATATGATTCATTTGCTACATACTTGATACCAAACTTCAACACAACTCAGATCAAGAACACATGATTCGTCTAACTAGTACGTGCATTGTTCAACAATCAACAACCGACAATATACTGATAATAAGGGGTAGGAAAATATATATTCTATATCTAATACTTACCAGACTATCTACAATTCTGTCTGAGTAAACAACCTATCACAATTTCTCCCACCCATACAACAGGTTGATTTTATCGATAAGAAAAACGAAGAATATGTCATCAGTAATGGTATCAGACAGTGAATACACAATCTGGTCAATCGAATGAAGTTGAGAATGTTAATTACTGGATATCTACATAATGATTTACGGGTATCGTGTTCGCTTCCAGAGATTGTGAGTTTCCACTACTAAAAAGTAATACACTGCTTAGTTGTCAATGCTTCTACGCCTGATGCCGGTCAGTGATGAAAATTAATTCTAGGCATAATATGATTGTTTGTTCTTAGTTAGCTTCATGAAATGTTCCCACTTAAACAAGCACTGAAAACCACAAATTCCTAAGAAGTTGTTTAGTCCAAGAAACATGACTGTGGCTTGGAAAACCTGTTTTCGACCCTTGGTGGGTTTGTGGACACTCATTGATGAGGATTTTGACATTAAAACGAAATATCTGTCATGTTCCCTGGTTTTTAATAACTGTCTAGTCTAAGTTAATTCATTATGTAAACTACAAACCAAACAATCTCCACAAATCTACTGTGCTAGCAATGAACACTTTTAACCAGTATGATGGTAAAAACTTAAATGAAGTTTGTTCATAATGTAGACCTCTCCCAGTTTCGAAGTGACAGAGAAACGTCGTAAAGCTCAAGAGAATTGACTATTTCCGTAAACTTCAGTGGATCACAGTATAGTTTGCGCTACCATATCAAAGTAGAAATAGACCAATACATCCAGGAAATCATTAAGAATATTTAATTCAAAAGAATGACATTGACAAATCTGGATGTACAGACATCGAGATTTTGATATATAACATTTACTGTATATTTGGTATGAAATGTAGTTACTCAGCTCTGCCTGTAGCTTGAAAGAGAAGCCACATGGGTCAAAACACATTTCTAATACATAGGTTTGGATGGTTTCACTGCACAGCGTATACTTTAACGATTGGTAGATCCTATTGGTGGTTAGCAAATTAAAAACAACCTTGTTGCTGTTTGATTTGGAGTCATAAAAATATTATATCATAAATCTTGGCTTCATCATCCCAACAATTAGTATATAAAGAAAAAAGTGTGCTTAAAGCTTCGAACTCGATCAGTGATAAGGTTTAAACGAGATTCTCGCGACTGCTAAGTTGCTATAGAAAGTCAGTTTTAGTTTAAACTACTTCAGTAACGTTTGTGTCCACTATGTCAGATGAGATAAATGTGAATTTCTTAGGAGTTCAAAACTAGGTGCTAGAAACACTTTGGCGGAGTATCAAGGCTGATTGTCTCTAACTGTATAGAGCAGAAAGGACAGTAGCATGCGGAAATCTAGATAAAAACGAGAAGCGCAGGCTAGTTCATAAGGTTTTGTACTTAAATCTGAGTCATGTACAAGATGTAACCTTCACTATTTAGCCAATCAATCGGACATTATGATCACGTGACCAAATAAGTCACAGCTTATATTAGTCTTTCCGCATTAGTGTTATATGATGGTTCAAGTTCACTTTGAGTGTTAGTGATACCATAAGATCCGTTTAGAAAAACCCACTGAACCATGAATCGATGTTAAAACAGTATCTTCGGAATCAGACTTGTTAACAGTTTCGGCAGTTAAACAACTCTCACAAAATTAGTGTGGCTGAAAGACTATTATATAAGCATGTGCCTGATGAGTCTGTTTTGGTACACGACATAGAAGGGATCAAAAGTACTAGATAGATAGGCTTACATTATGATGATGGCTATAAAAACGTATTTGTAAACATTCACGAGAAGTGCAAGAGTATAATGCCAAAAGTTAGAGCTAGAGTAAAGCCAAAGTATAATGTCGAACAAACCGAGATCAGAGAAATGCTTTCAAGGTCATTGAGCACGTACTAAACCAGGGCGTTATTCATCGACCGTATGATAATTCTTGTGTGGAATATATCGATAAATAACCATATGATGTTGGATCAAGCTCAATTGCAATGAAGTAATGGAAATGATCTGAACAGATATAAGTCAAAGGCAGATGGAGTGATGACTCGTTGAGATTACGTTTCAGGGTTAGATTAAGGGTATAAAAAACCAACCACAGTCACGAGCCTAAAATCTAACTTTCAGGGACTTATATCTGACCCAAAAAAGTTCAATACATTCTTAGTTAGTCCTTTCTTCTACTATAAACCAGTCAGATGAATTGTTTTCTGATTGACGGTAAGAGGTAAATGTCTCTCGCGACCACTTGATAAAAAGCTTAAACTCGGGACGAAGCTTTAGATTTCTCATAACTAGTTAAGACTAGTGCTAAAGGAAAACAGTTTTTCAAAAATATCTAGACATCCTCAATTGGTAAGAATAAGAAGTCAAGTGACCTACCAAGAATGTTATCTTTCTATAAAAATTTGGAAGGCCTGATTCGGCAATTAGCACTTCAGTACTTACTCAAAACCAGTAGATTTGGTTGTGTTCAAAACACACATTTTGAGTTGAGCATTAACATGTAAACATGAGCCTATTGGTAGGAGAATTCATTTTTTAAAGTGCAATCAAAAAAGGTGCAAGACAACCACAAAATAAAGACCTAAATGAATAACAACATATAATTTGATCGAACGATTAGTACTGAAAAGAGAATATCTACGAGTCAGTTGACTCACTTGCATGACATCCAAAACCATGGTGACGATTTGGTTGCATACTCTTTTCCAAACCCTGAAGATACTGATTTTCTAGCTCCTTATTGATTATGGATGTATCTTTATTTTGACCGTGCACGCTATCGATGTTTTCTCCGATTACAAGTTTTCCTTTATGATCACGTACAGGATTTCCACCCATTAATTTTAAGAACTTCTTGTTTCGGTCTTCAGAACCCAAGTCAGCGTGTTCCCAGTCATTTGGAGATTTTACATTTGTTAGTTTAAAGTCATCATTCTCACAATCTTCCATATTACATATAGTCTAAAAACACCATGAAGAGTGCATCGACCCTACTTAGACCTTGATTACATGTTGCCGCTGTCCAATATCCAATATTCAGATCTCAGATTTGTATAGAAAGAACAGAAGATTTAAGGTCTTCTTCTAGTAAGCTTCTATGGTTGCCTCGTCTCCTGAATGAGTCAACTGAAGGCTGAGAACACCAGTGCTTCAGGTAACAGGTCCTGTTGTGCTATGCAAACCTAGACCACTTATTCTAGCTTCAGGACAAACCAATTTATTCGTTCTTCTTGAGTCACATTTTGACCTTGTTAGTTATTCACTTGTCAACCTTGACTTTTTATATCAGCGTATGTGTGTGTTTTTTATACTACTCATCATGTCTGCAACTTATTTTGACTTAACTATAAATAACGATTCACGGTTGGTTAAATCGAGTTAGCTTACATGCCCTCTACCGCGAAACATTTCGTTTCGTTTAATTGATCATCTGTTGAGATCAATGATTGTGCAAAATACACGTGTTCAAAAATCCACTCTCACATTTGACTTATTTGATTCGTTATTCACCAGCGCGATTGAAGTAAATGATTTTGTACAACAACTGGCGACACGAATTTCTACAGCAATCTTTCAGTAACAATCATTCATACAATCCGATTGGAGTCAGACCTCCTGTTGCTAAAGTGGTGAGCTCGCTGATGACGAACCTAACGCAGCAAAATACATCGATGAATATCCTTCATCTTGTTGTGCTAACGAGGTATGGCAACTTGGACCGATGCATATATGTACCTGGTCCAACGTTGTAGCTGACTGACTGACTGCTCAATCGATAAGCAACGCAGATTTTTGTTGACTTCGAAGTAAAAGCACCCTGCAAATGTCGTTATCGTATATTTTATTATTCTTCCTAGTATTTCATTTACGACGCTGAGAGGCTGGCAGGTCTGTAGTTTGATGGAAGTTGTCTCGATCCTGTTTTATGTATTGAAGTGATAATTATATCTTTCCAGTTCGCAGATAATTCACTTTGACCGAGTGACATATTGAATATCGTAGTCAATGAGTCAGCAATATATTGTGCAATTAGTCACAAGGCTTTAGGGTGTAGTTCACCAGGTCCAGTTAACTTTTCCGTATCTAAAGTGCTAAGGGCTTTACGTACATCGTCCTGATCGAAATCCCCAGGGGGCAAACGATATTTTGACCTTGTGTTTGGGTCTAGTTCGTCGTCTAGAAGAGGCTCCTGAGTGAAAACTGCGCCGCAATAGTTTTTCATAGCCTCCACTTCTCTCCTAATCAACCTCTGCCATTTGGGATTTTCTCCCTTGTGTAATTAGGTTGTGAAACCAATGGTTCGTTCTTGTTCTGCAGTTTTCGTATGAGGATAGTCACTTAGGCCACTTGATTAGAGCAGTGGCATTTCATATTTTTGCTGAGCTTTCCAGGTTTTAATTGTACACTTATTTCGTACCAACCTGTAGCGTTCCATCGTACTTGCTGTACTAAGGCTGGTAGAATGTTTCAACATTTATCTTTCTGTCCTGGTGAACTTCCAGTATTCTGGCTTATCCAGGGATGAGCGTGCTTCTTCTTTGGGACTGTACAGGGTGTAAATGGTTGAGGTACGTGACTGCATAACCGTCGGAAATGAGTTTGAAGATACCACCAGAATTGTAGTTTTACAACTCTTTACCAGTAACATCTTTTATAATTATATCGCGCCCATCCAGTTAAAATAAGAAGTCAGGAGTGAGGAGGCTGGAATATATATTTGATGGGTTATCAATATATCGAGAAATGACTAATCTAATCTGGCTAATGATCGTGGGAGATGTTTCCCATGCTGTGCTGTAACGTGATCTGATACGGATGTATGACTGAGCACATTCAACTAAACGTGTCCACTTAAACTAATGTGGTCAGCAGCCAATGTCGACCAGATTGCTTGCTCCAGAAATGTGTTGTATATCTCAAGTAAACTGTGAAATGTATTCCAGTTGTCAAGACTAGCGAGGTGAGTACTTTTCTTGGCGATGAGTTCCTTAATTGTGGAGAATGCTTTTCGCACGATGTCGTCTAGATTAATTGATTTCGCATTTCCACGGAGTTGATCGGTTAGCGGTTTCATGAGGGATAAGCATTTTGGTATGAACCGTCTATAGAAACTTATATGACAGATAAATGTGCGCAACTGCTTGATCGTGGCCGGTTCTGGGTAATCCAGAATGGCCGCCACTTTGCTTCTAAAAGATCGGATGCCTTGAGCATCAACAGTGTATCCTAGGAAGTCTAAGGGGTTGGTGCTTATTTGGCATTTCTGAATGTTTACGGTGATGCCATTTCTTTGAAGTCGTTCGAAAACAATGTTCAGATGTTGGAAATGAGATTCTCTGTCTGAACTTGCTATCAGACAGTCATCAACATACGCATTTACGAAGTTGAGACCTCGGTAGACATAATCTATGAACCTTTATAAGGTTTGAGCAGCGTTCCTTAGACCGAAAGGCATTCGTAAAAATTCGTAGAGGCGGAAAGGAGTTATAATGGCGGTCAGTAGCCATAGGGATTTGGTTACAAGCTTTAACAAAGTCGATTTTCGAAAAGACAGTTCTACCTTTCAAGGTAACTTTCAAATCGTGAATGTGGTGCAACGGGTAACGATCGTGAATTGTTTTAGCATTCAGACGCCGATAATCACCAGTTGGACGCCAATCATTGCTGTCCTTTTTAGGGACCATGTGCAAGGGATATGACCATGGGCTACTTGGCGGTCGAATGATTCCTAAGTCCATCATGTGGTCGAATTCGTTTATAGCCAACCTAAGCTTTTCGGGAGCCAGTCGGCGTGCTTTCGAGAAAACAGGTGGTCCTGTAGTCCAGATGTGATGTGTAACATTGCTGGTTACACACGCCAATTTCGGTTGCAGTTTATATATTTCAGAGGAGGTATTCTTTATTTTACACTTGATCTTTTACGATTAATTAAGAGAGCACAATTTGTAATAGCTGCAATCAAACGACATGTTCAGAATATTCTTGTTTATTTGTAAAATCACTGAACATTTGCACGGTGTAAACTTAACTGGTATTATTAACCAATTCGCACTATGATACACGTACGCGCTTTTCCAAGGTCATAGTATTATTATTATTCACAAACATCTTATGGGTACATAAGTGCTGTAAAGAAACCATTTCAGGTTTCTTCAAAAATGCAATAATACACAATTTTCAATAGTGTTAGCATTACATTTGCCATGTTTGAGAAAGGAAAGAAAAGAAAAATAAAATATTAATAATAAAATAGTAATAATAATACGCACCAGATGCTCCACAAGTCTACCTTATAACAACTACAAACTTAAAAAGCTGCATTACATAAATACTTAACACGACCAAAACCCTAATACACTTTTTGTCGAGATTTTATCTGGTATGTAACGTGGACGCGATGCTCCTATGGAAAATGTTTTGAAGAAAACACGGTATATCTGGACAATGAGCTGCTATCAACTTTTATAGATTATACTTACTAAACAACCCCGATTGGGATGCATACTGTAAACCCGTAAATTTTGTAACTTGTAGATCATGCCTGTAAAATGGCCCTTGCAGAAATATAATATTATTATTACAAAACGATAATTCGAGTGCTTAGACAAGGCTATTATTACAAGAATAACAACTGTTGTAATGTGTGAGAAGACGAAATTGGGAGAATAATAAGGGAAACGGAAATAATAATGAGAGACAAGGAAGCTAGATACTGATACGCGGTAATGATAACCGTGGTCATTTGCGATATGCATTAACCACAGCTAGTCCAAGAGGGAGATGATGATTCATAGGTGAATAAGTATTTGTCAGGCATCCTCTCATAACTATCCACCAAAAGGGTTGTAGTCACTGCGGACGGAAGACCATTTTAAATGAAAGCGGTAGATGTAAGCACCTCACTTTAGAACCTTTATGGCACCTTAGGCCAAGGAATAATCTAATATTTCTCTACAAAGCAATAAATAGGCTTTAATTTCTAAAATCCTGCCCAACAATGATCCATAACCCAGCCTATAGACTAAGAAACAACTTATATACACCATTAACCGTAAAACACCGAACGCAAATGAATTGTACGTTTTTACAATGCGGCATAGTTTATTGTGGAAAGGGTTTTCAATACCGGTTTGAAACTGTGATACTTTTACCAAATTCAAAAAGTTAATAACCCTGTTACTAGACCCTAAAGACCTTCATCAACTATTTCTTGGACTCCCGCCAACAAATTGTGCACTTCATTATGAACCGCCTAATATCTAGGACGAACAAGAAAATAACCAAATTACAAAACACATGCTTTATCCTCTCCCACTATTAATTGATTATTATTCATGGCCCTCTGCTCATAACCCCCACTTTCAGATTCTTAATATCTCTAATGTCTAAAAATTTATTCTTCTTCCGAAGTGTCATGTCTTTTTTTACTACTATTAGACACACAGCTCAGTAATCTTGTGGATGCTTATCGACTAAGGCGATCGAAAGAAGCTAAAATTGTCCTAAATTCTTGTGAGTTGCTCAATGCTTTTACTTTTTTACGCCGAAAATTATAGAATCTTCTACTCTTTCATATCCTTTGATTTGCTATTAGTCCTTACCATCTCTTAACCACATATACTTTGACCAGTCTCCTATAGCTTAGGTCATTGGTTATCTTCATATCAGCATGATGTGGATGTCTAACCGAAAATAAAGATGCTTTGGCTATCTGATTTGCTTGTAACACGGAGCCAGGAGAGACAGTGTATTCCAACTACGGGCCTTGATTAAAGCAATATTCATACTTACCACAAACGTAAGAGAGCCTAAAATCATAAAAGGAGGAAGGGTGGTGTTACTGACCAGTAAACATGATGGCGGGGAGATAACTTCAATCCACCCGTGTCTGTAGAGCAGAACATGTTGAATTGCGGCTCCTTATGTCAAATGAGGTGTCAAGAACAAAC